TTCAAAGTCGAGTGATCCCAGTTGATCCCAGTGATCCCAGTCCATAGCCATTTGACAGGTGATCCAGCCGGGACGATCTGTTGTGAACGATCGACTCGGATCAATCGGCTCAGAAGAAGTCGTAGACGTCGAAAATCCAGCCGAATAAAAATTTCGTAACACCTCCATGTGAACCGGACAATCCCGAATGAAATTGATTATTTCCTAATCTTTATAGCTTATCTTTCTTCTACTGCATTTGTTACTTACTATTATCGTTTTTCTAGGAGTCATACATTTCTCTCTTGAAAGGCAAAACTTTTAGTTTGGTCTAGTAGATTGTATATCAGTATGCCCTTCTAGGCTCTGAAGAAGGCGATACTGCCGAAACATCAGCTAGCGTTGTATTGTATTATGTTTTTTCTATGGAAGTAAATGTATGCTGTTTAAAAACCTCGCGATTGCTGAACAAGAAAACGACGCATTCATATTCCAATGCCGAGGTTAAGAGAAAGTCGATCCTGAAAACTTTTAGTCATCAAAAGCTGTAAACTTTTTTCTTAGAAGTTTCTGACAATCTCATCCTGAAGAAATCTGCATCGGTTAACGACTCCATTCCAAATTAAGAAATTTTTAGTTCAGCTCATTTTTAACTACCTGAATTACTTTGCTGTGAAACAAATTTAATCACAATGACCATCTCAGCTAATTTAGTTTATATCTCAGCGATGCGATGAACTTTCATTGACTGCGCAGGGTGAAGAAACCTTTAAGAAGTTTAGAAGCCTGTTCAATCACTAACTATCAATAACCTCCTTTAAGCTAACGCTTTCACTTATTTTTCTAATGACTCTCTATCGATTTCCTCATTTTAGCGAGTACCAACTGAACAATCTTACGATATCTTTTAATTTACGACTCATGATAAGGTACTACAGGAATTAGTGAAAGATTTATAGTGATCATTATTGGTTAGAATGACGATTCTGTCATACTTCTGCCAATTCTGTTCATTGCATTGTTGGCAATTATCACCTCATCTATGATGTCCAGAAATAATGTCCTAATAAAAAAATTATGCTATCGGCAGAATGATCAACATCCGGGAGAAACATTATGAGATCATCGGTCAATCATTGGATTACATTAGGTTTGGCTGAGTTTGAAGTTTCCCTTAGAGAAACCAAAAATGCGCAGGTTCCCTGATGAAAAGCTGGACATTTTTTCTATGGGGAACGATGAAAATAGTGGGAACTATCTGATAAATACTGAAACTGACTAGATAGAAACAAGAAAAAATGACAAAAGTCGCACTATGCTTACTACCGTACTCTAGTGAAGACCGTGATTTTTTTGTCATCTATTCATTAAAGGGCTCGTGCAGCGCAATGGTCGGAGGCACCTTACAACACACGTGGGATCGATCCCCGCGCCCATGGCCCACCAAGCCTTCCATCTTTCCGGGGTCGGCAAATTGGTACCAGACTTGTCTGGAAGGATGGCAGCACTGGCTCGATACACCGGTAGGCCACTGCGAGCCATTGTAAAGGCCAGATATGCATTCAGTCACTTCTAAATGATGCTTAGTGAAGTCGAATGCATGGAGCATCACTCAGAGATTGGTCAACGGCGAGAGCCTTATCCTTTATCCTTTATCCTATTCGTTACTATATGTATTTTTAGGTAAAATTTATCAAATAAATGATAAATATCGGGGCTGTAAAAATATTAGGGTACAGGCGTGTTCAAGTGGGCAAAATATTAATAATTACATAAATACGATATCAAATCTGAGAATAAGTAGTCGTTTGGAAATGTTAGAATGATAAGCCGATTGGCTAAAGGGAAATGCCACTGAAGGGAGTCATTAATATCTTTTAATGTGAGAAATCAAACAAATGACGTACTTGAAAGATTTTATTATAAAAAAGGACTTAAGTCCACCTTTTTTGGAATCCTTTCGAATTCAGAAGCATTTGATGTCTAAGAATACGAATAACTTACGTTCAGACCATCCTCAAAGCGCATTGTTTATTCCTAAGTCGACAGTTGCGCGAATTATAGCAGTTGTCCACTTTAGTGATTTGCAACCACTGTATACAGGAAAAAAAGAAAACATAAAAAACACCTGACGTCAATTTGCTCAGTAAGAACTCTTTGAAGACATCTGAGATTCATTTACCTGACAAGTTGCCCTCAGATCTCGTAGAACGAGTTGATGATCGTCTTCGAAATCGGCTCTTTGTTCCCATAGCCGTCGCCTGCGATGGAGGTCGTTGTTGTCGGGTAGGATTATGATCCTGAGTTTCGAATTTTTCTCTTTTTTTCAGTGAAAGGAGACAACATGTTGATTGCTGTGTCTACAAGTTGGATGCAAGGTGATTCCAACATCTGATTGATTCCGACAACTGATTTGTTTCGGCAATCGACCATCACCCCGTTCGTAGTGGTTTTTTCCTAGATGTGCGAAGAATGAAAGGGGGATGGATAAGGAATGTATACAGGACTCCGAAAACTGAATTTCTATTAACCTAACCTGGGCATTAATAAGCGCGCACTAGATTGCTGCTATACACATTATTCGCAAAAGCTTACGTTTTGTCAGAGTTCCTCGTAGCCTAGAATGGTCAAGTTGACTCTAAGCAGGTTGAAAACCTCATTGATTTATCGCCCAGAGTTATCGTTCTGCTAATAAATTTTGTACAATCTTCTAAGCAATGATCCTTTAAACCAAGAGGATAAAAACGATAATACACAAGGAGCGTGACTGCCATGCTTTTCATGGATCAGGTTGTCATCGATTATCGAGTTTTTCTACGTTATGTAATTAGTGCCACAACGCTTTTCTACAGTTCCCCATCGTTGTGACTTCAAACCGATTCCATCGAAGTCGCCTCCCATCAACTCAGTTGTTCCTGTTCACGGGGCATGCCAAAAGGTTTATTGAAGGTGGTGTTTAGAAAACGCGGCTGGCGCTGCTTTTGGCCTGACATGTGATAGAACAACTGATTTTCCGTCCAAAATCCATTCACTGAGAGCACCCGACGACCGTTTTTTGTAAATATTGGTTAAATGTTTAACTTAGTCATGTCTGGTAGTCGATTAATGTCATTTAAATGGATCAACGCTTACTATTTATAGCGGAAACCGTTTCTTGTCGTTCTTCTCCATGATCGATTGGTTTAGAATGTGTTGCCTTCTCTCTATTTTTGTTTAACACATAGATGTAAAGCGCGTTATATGTACTTCTTTTGTAGAGTAAGTGATTTTAGCTGAACAACAAATGTTTTAGTGCTGTTTCATTGAAAACTGTGAAAGTTCGAAACCACTCTGCAAAAGTGGCGGCTCGAATTCTTGCGACCGAAATACATCTCTGCAAACACATACAGGTTTAACTTCAGAGCTTCTTCTAGCTGGAGTTTCTACTCATACAGCTTCTAATTGTTATTTTATTAGTTTTATTATCGTTATTATTAGTCGGTTCTAAGGCTGTATATAATGCCTTCTTTTCCTTTTTACGAACGGAAACACCTTTTTTCGATTCTTTAGGTTTTTTCATCAATCAGCATACATATCTGAGCATCTGAGAGATATAGGCGATGGTTAGTATGTATGGGTTGCGACAGTTGGAGGGGAACACACAACGGACTCAAGAGGGCAACTGTGCCTCTGTCTGACCAGATGTCGCCGAGCCTCAGGCTACAACTGCCTGCTTCTTCCTCAAGCTGCTAACCATGTGGCTCTAAGCTTACTGCTTCCATCTGCTACGCCAATTGCTGGAGATTCATTCGTTTCGAAATAATGGAATTCACTGAACATATGTCCTGGATTGCATTAATGGGCCTTTGTATTCTTGGGCTTTTCCAAGAAAAGACGAAAGAAAAAAAGAAATTCCCAGAACTTCATTAAACAAACCCTGGTTTTTTCCGTATTAGAAATCATTCAAATACAATTGTTTGAACGATTTTGGCGGCTCTCGCAACAACTGCAGAGTCACCCAGATCTTGTCGAATGTCAGTTTCATAAAGAAAGGAGAACGTTTTAAGGATAAATTGAAGTCCCGCAAACAGTCGACTTATTTTTTTAGCTTCCATTCAATTAATTCAAGCTGAAGTCTTATGACACCGCTTATTGTACGTTGGTCCACCTTTTAAACAGGAAGTTCGATTCGTTGTCACTGATTTTTTGACAGTTCTCTAATTTTTGTTCTCAAATCACGGCATTCTTGAGTACATACTTGGATCCATGTTTTTTTTACACTAAGCTGTCGTTTTTCTACATAAAAAGATAAAAGGATAAAGCTCTCGGTGCTGATCAATTCCTGAGGGATGCGCCATGCATTCGACTTGATTAAGAGTAGGTTGGAGGCGATTGGATGCATTTCTGGCTTTTATAATGACTCACGGAGGCCTACCGATGTATCGAGGCAGTACCGCTATCCTCCCAGACCACTATGTCGATCCGGGAGAGATGGAAGGCTTGATGGGCCATGGGCGCGGGGATCGATCCCACGTGTGTGTGGTGCGCGCCTCCGACCACTGCGTCACACTCGCCTCTATTTTTCTGCATAGAGCTGAGAAATTTATTGCGTTTTCTGCTATGTAAATTTACAACTCCTTGAGCTCTTGAGCTTCCATTCTCAACACTGGCTTCTTATAGTTTCTTTCAATACAATTTGATCTATGGGAATTGTACATCGCATTTATCTCTATAAGCTCCTACTAAAGAATGTGTTTCGAATGGAGGTGTATTTTTTTGAAGGACAATCTTTGAAAACCATCTCCGACTATTTCAAACAGATAGTTTTGGCGGGCGCGAATTCGCAATCTATCCGGATTATCCAGTTCTGTGGCTGAGAGTCCATTCGCAGTCCTGCACAGAGTCGATTTCAGCTGCTGCCAGCTGCGCACCTGCAACTCGTTCACCGCCGACTCCGCCCATCCGCGATGTCTTCCGCGCTACCCCGCCCACTTACGGTGGCCACTCCGCTTCGCTATTGTCACCGTCACTGTTCGCGAGTCATGCAGCCAAAGGTGAAACTCACACCACGTAAAATAGGCGTTCAAGGGCCTTCTATGCGACGAAAGGGTAAGACATTAATACTTTCCCTTCGTTTCATAATTTTTCTTATAATTGTTATTAATTCATTAATTATTCCCTTACTGAAATGCTCATTTCAGAGCCAACGAAAATGTCACAGTTCAGTCGTGAGGAGTTATCTGAACTGAAGCGTCTGAGCGCTATGTTACCACCACGCGCTGCCAAAGAACAAGATCCAGCACAACTCGTCCTCAACGCTGCGAACTACATTCAACAACTTGTTGCCACTGTACGTGCTCGGGTCAATAAAGGAACTCTACCAATTGGTGAGTCCTTCAACAATTTACTTGCTGTCTTCCATAGCAATGTGGGTGTTCGATTCTAATAAAACTTATATCTGTTAGACCAATAGTTCGTCTACCAGTTGTCCATCTCTCAACTTTCGATGCCCAGTAGCAATTTTGAATATTTTGGCCAAAGATTCGAATATTCGGCCATTTTGCTACCTCTTCTCCTAAAGTACGGTATTTTAGTCACCTTTACAGTATTCGTAGTCGTCACCAACAATTATATCGTTATCTCTCGCCGTGCGCTCTCAACACCAATTGATGTGTCGAGGTCGTTTCGGCGAGCAAAACTCCATTCGAATACTTCAACTATTCGAGTATTCAGTGTATTCGATGTGTTCACCTAATCGACTGCATGCATTCAGAAGCGCTTGCTGTTCTTCCTTCTCGCACAACGGCGCCAACACGTATTGTCCCGAGAAAGAAAAGACGATCCATTGAGAAACGGCATTAAGTGGCGGCAGGAGGAGTAGTGACTGCACTTGAACTTCATCCATCAGCACCCTCAGCAATATTCCTCATCAACAGTTGACGCGTTGGTGCCGTTCCAACTGTTTTTTCCTATTAATTGTCGTTTTTTTGTGATCTGTGATGTAGAGCGGGTTTTCTAATCTTTTTAGTGGTTGAAACTCATTACTATAAATATATGAGAACTAAACGTTTTCCGAAGCATTATATTTATATGTATTAAAAAAGACTGCCAGAAGAGCTTAATGTGAAGACTGCACTCCGTTCTTGTTCCTACCTTCGTTCCTTTTTTTACCGCTTATTTCTTCCTATTTGAATCACACCTACTTGTTAGTAGAACTTATTACCATTGCACCATATGCAATGCAATATTAATAAATCTTCTAACGAAAGACGATTACTGTAGATACCGGTGGACAGATTTTTTTCTTTTCTAGGTAATCTAACTGGTGAGTAGTAGAAGAAAGAAACGAAAGGGATCCTCTGTACCACAAGGAGAGCTAGGTCCGAGTCTTCCTCCATCACAGTTCGACTCCACTTCCATCCGTTTTCACACTTAAATGGTGTTCAATGAGTTTCCGACCGTCAGTTGTCAACCAGCGTCGTAATCAACGCCTTATGCTATCGCTTTTGATGACCATGCAGTAGATCCCCCTAATCTGCCGTTAACCCGTCATCCGCGTTGGTAGAACTTGCACTTACGGTTATTATTTACTCATGATTGCTATCCGCCTGATGTCATAAAAGGCTGGAAACAAGTGTAGAGCTGTTTAATGAAAGGCTCATAGCATACAAAATTGGCATCAGACGAAAAAGCAAAACTTATGATAATCTGTTGCTGAGGTCTGTAAGAAGTAGTTGTGTTTATCACCCAGCTAGATATCCTTTTCGTTGTAAAAGAGCACTATGATGGCCAAATCTAAGTAAACATCGTGAATCTTCATGGTCTATTGTCTTCACTAATTTGAAAAAGGATGTGTCGAAAAACGTAAGTTATCACGGCTCATGGAGCTCTAACCAATCGTTTGACACCAAGCCCAGATGAGAGTTTGGTTCAGAAGTCGTTAACAGTCGTCATCCAGTCTATCGATATTTGATAAAATGTGTTTGATAAGATCCACTAACCTTGAAAAATGAGCTACAAATAAGGCTTTCATGGAACTTAACACCCTAACAGTGAGCAAGGTAATCAGCGCGTGTCACTTATCTAATCCTGAACGTAGAAAGAGTTTCTGAAGTCGATATTTTGGTCTAAAACTAATAGCCCAAAAATACACAAAAGACGATTGCTTACCTAGCTCTAAACGTGGAAAGATTTCCAACGTGAATCACTGTTACAACCGTAACTGCGAACAAGATGCAAGCGATTTCAGGCACTGAACTAACTCTGAACGTGAACAGGATCACAAACGTTCCACACACTGGTCTAACCCAAGCGATGGACATGGAGAGCGGCATTAAGGTCTTTTTAGTTTCGAAATATGTGCCAATATTATGCACAATTTATGCTAGTGGTTGGGATCGAACGGATCTACTGATTGCGCAATGCGAGGCACCTGTATGTATTCTTAGCAAAGCGGTTCGAGTTACTAGATCCTCATTTACTATCGATGACGTCTAAACGGCATTTACTCTCACTGCCATCGCCTTTTTTACCATTACCAAATCTTTACCCTTCCTCAGGACTTTCAAAAACGAAGGTCGTAGTCTAGTTAGAGCACAAATCGCCAATAGTCCATTATGTAAAACTCATTGATGTGTATAAAAATTTAGCTAATGTGAAGGTGTGCTGACTTTGATTTAAAAAACTTTATAAGATCACTATTACTATATAATTGTCTCTAAGGTAGATTGGTGTGGCAGCGCAGTTGTCGAACTTGTCTGGGAGGATAGCAAAACTGTCTCGATACATCGGTAGGCCACCGCGAGCTATTGTAAAGGCCAGATATGCATTCAATAACTTCCAAACGATACTTAATGAAGTCGAGTGCACGACGCACCCCTCAGCGATTGACCAACGTCAAGAGCTTTACCCTTTATCCTTTAAAGTAAGTTGTATTGTAAATCTTTCGTTTGCTGCATAGAGTCGTCGGGTGAGTTCAGTAATTGTCACGATGGGTTTATTGACCCATATGGGAGGTTTGTCAAGTGTGTGGGTGGGTTTGTGTCTTGTGTGTGACTGTGCGGGTATGTTTGGCGGTAAACGCTAGACGTTATATATGTGCAGCTGGCGATGTCACTTATCCTTTGAACGTAAAGCACTTTTGCACACATGGAGATGAACGACCACATCTCATCATCCACCGACGGAACGAGATGCCGACTTGAGCAAAGAGCTCTTCTCCTCCCATATGAAGAGCGCCGGATTGTGCCGAACAAAAAATCCTTATGCCGAATCTGAAAACGACCAAGTTGCACCTGCAAGAATCCACTCTTTCAAAGTATAATTGACGAATTTATAGTCATTCTTCCGCTCTAAAAGAAACGCTTGGATTTTTATTAGGATTATTTTTAAAGTATCATTAACCCTACCGCTAATGGAATTCTCAATGTTAGGTTATCTTAGTACCACATAAGCAGATTTACCCACTGCGTCTCATATACACCTCGTTGTTTAAGGAAGTTGATGCTTAGAGGTGATGAATTTCCCGATTTTCCAATAAGGAGGAATCGCCTAGACACGCAGAAAGCATAGAGATAACGCCGGTATCAACCTAGTGGAGAAACTTCTAATTTTGCTATTTTTTCTTGAACGTGTTTGCTTTTGCGCAATATTTCTAACTAATAAAAGTGAGGCATCGTGGCCTTGATTCTTGCAATTTCACATCATGTCCTACCGTGCCGCTGATAGATGGACGACCTTCCCTTGTCTCTCGTCGATTTCTCACTTTTTAGTCGGGCAACTCACAACCGCCAACTAGTTTGTCCGATTAGAAAAACATGCGCGATCGGTGACGAATTACGACGATGAGCGACAGTCGAACGACGTCGTCGCGACGTCGGCAGCTGGACGTCGCGCAACTCCCATCTTGACCAGAATGTTGCCACCCATTGGCGACCGACGGTCACGTAGAACCCAAAAGCGACTTGTCCTCCTCTGAGGAACACACACACTCAGTATCCACTGAAACATGTGTTAGCAGTCGATGTACTCAATCTGCTACGCATATGGTTGCCAAATGTCGCTTTTGATTGCAAAGCACAACATGTTCCGAATGGCAGCTGACTTCAGTTCGTTTTCAATAGCTTTTCTTTTAGTTACCATGAGTGGTAGTGCTAGTACTGCTATTCTTATTGTTATCATCACCATTATTATCGAATTTAACTCTTCAAACGAAGCGCTGTTGTCAAAAAACTAGGAGAGATGCTATATTTTGTGTTAGAGGAAATCAGAATTGCAATAAAATCGCACTGAGATCGAGCTCTTTCATTGACTAACAGAATTAGTAGCCCATGCCTATGCCTTTCAAAAGATTAAAAATGCTTTTATAGATTTTAAGCTGCTCACTATAAAGAAGTGAGTCAGAAATGCTTGGATACTTCGGCGGCTCGTCCTCACTGGTTGAGCAGGCCCTACCACACTCTTCAATTTTCGGAGTACTGCTGGTTTAGCCACTGTGTTTCCCTGGAGATCCAAGGTCAGCCTCGCCAAACTTTGGCCCAGGTCATCACTACCACAGGCAGGCGCCGCCTTTTTGGACCAGAGGAAAATTTGCCACCATACGACTAGTCTGATCCCAGGCCAGTGGTGGATCCTGGTGCCGGTTTACTCTTAGCTGGGCTTCCTGACGGGAATCCCGGACTCCTTCTCAGCATGGGAGACCTTGCTGGGTGGATGAGTTTTTTATGTACATCGCATCCCGACACCCACGAACGCCTCCCAGCCATGATGAGGCGGTAAACCGTGGCGAGAGTGAGTCTTAAAGAGAAAGAAAATGTGCATTTTAATGAAGAAACCAATATGCTTTCTTGGAGACGTGGATTTTGTTTCCTCACCAATAATTCGTGCATCGAAACAATTACGCTGCACCGTTTTTTTTTGTTAACTGAGCTATTTCCACGGACTTCCGAGACACGCCGTAGACGTTCCAATGCCCCACTACGGACAATTCGTCAGCCATTATGGACCAAGGGAAAGCTGGCTAACCTACGATATGATTTTGCACAGAGCAGTAGCGTTTTGTCGGATAAATTTTAAGTGTTAGAATGCCTTTTCTAAGTTTGGCTGACACTTTCTGGAAGGTAAATCTTCTTCTTTACATATTATATTGATAATACAGAAAATCATTCGTCGTAATACTCTCGGACATCAATGATGGCACTATTCCGTATTAAAGGGTTTCTAATTACTTGTCAATTTGGATACCTTAGTGATTCGTAAGCATATGTCTTACAAAACCCAGCAATTCCCTCATTCAATCCGTTGTCTTGCAACTATTATTTATGAAGGGGTCGCGTTCATTTGTGGGTGCGGCAGTCGCTCAAGAGTTTGTCATCTTTTGTACCAAGCTGAGGTGTTGATCAAGAAAGACGTTTTGCAAACCTAAAAAGGTTTAGGACTAGAAAAAAATTGAAAAGCTAAACTTAAATAAATAAAACTTTGAAATCAAAAATCGAAATTCAGGGATCGTATATCTAAGACTTTCTCCGGTCTTCAGGTCTCCTTGGAAGGAAGTCTCCAAACGATTTTAATCACAGGAAAATTTACTTCTGCGTGACAGTTGAATCTTCCAGGTTAACGGCTGTTCCTGAGATTATTCAACTGACTGACCGAATTTGGTGCAGTTTCTTGAAGACTTTTTCATTTTTAACAATTATGGAAAGATGTTGATTGATTGTCAAATTGGCTCTTGTGCGCGGTCGTTAGAGAACGAGTTCTGCATCCTACTGAGTTTCTACGCGCTTTTCAAAGAAAACAAAGCAACTTTTCTTAGGCTCCGTCAGATTTTTATGTCTACGGTTTTCCTCTTTTGATTTCGTTGAACTTTTCTAGTAACTTAATTTTAATACAGAACTAATGAGTAGTTCCCTTTAAAGACGGGGTTGAGTTGATACGTTTTCAAGTTTCGTTCTGGTTCACTCTATCAGCTCTGCTTTGACCGCGCCTGTTTGCACGCTATTCTCGTGGCGGTCATTCTAAGTGCTCTCCGGAATGGGCCACTAGAAGTCCATTGTAGATTCATGGCTTCGTGGAATATGGTGAAAACATTTTCCTTGGATTCTATACCAGTGAAACGAAAAATTGGTAAACTGTCATTTTCAAATGAGTACTTTCTCGATCATTAAAGCACAGAGTAAAAGGCGACCTGCCTTAATCCACTCCTATAGGAGTGGAACATGCATTCTGGAAGGCCCGGTTTGTCTGGTGCAAGCCATCAAACTAACCACCATGTGTGTATGGCAAGGCACCTTTAACCGTTGCGCTGAAAGGATCTTTCTCGATCATTACAGTAGTATTGGATGACCAATGTTTTTCAGTTTTCGGTAGATATAAAATATTACTTAAAGTCACTCCAATTATTATTATTACAGCTATTAAAGAGCTGAGTCGTTTATGCGGCAGTACTACGATAATTGCTCTAGGTGACAGTTCATGGTAAAGATGATGGCGGTGTTCGTTTAGAGGTGGGGTTATTTTCTTTCAACAATTATCTGCATAAGAATGACGATAGCGGTGCATCATAGAGACTATGTGTTATAATTGCCATGAAGGTGATCTGAATAAGACAACGGTTGGCTCAAAGGCGAAAGAAAAAAAAAGTCCTGTCCAGAGAGAAGTGGTAGATCCAAGGCGAGTATCTCACAGGTCCTCCAGCTTTAGAGGCTTCTTCTTATAAGGTTTTTGTTTCAAAGTAACTGACTCTCTGAAGGAATGACTGCTAGCAGAAAAATCGCTCTCACTTCCATTCAATAAGAGAGGGATTATAGAAAACGACGAAGTTTCATGAGTTCCAGAACCTTTCCATATTCTTTTTCTATCTGTTTGTTTCTCTAACTCTGCTCTGTTTTGCTTTTTTAGGCGTAAAGCACAACTGAAAAACTTATTCTTTTTTAGTACCTATTAAAAATTCTCTTACTGAAACAGAATAATGCACAGTGGTCCTTAAAACTTGGTCACTCACTTTCATTGTGGACTTTTGAACCGATAAGTTTAATACTTTTTAAATAATACAACAAAGGCAGTGGAGTGGAATCCATAAATGTTATAAGAGCGTATGGATAATAATATTTTACACGCATTATAAGTATTGTGTTGCTTTTCGGGACGATTTTATGCGCTAAAAACCGGTTCCTTGAGCTTTCTGACTCTGGCTTAGTGCTACCGGTAGTGGTTTTAAGTAACAGGGCACCTCTGATATTAATGAAATCCTCTTTGTATTGGTAGAATTTCATATTTATTGAGATATGTCCATGCAATTCGTCATCGGTATGTGCACGATGCGGGTCGTTTTGCGGTGTCCTTGCTTTTGATTCAGTCAAGTCGTACCATTTACGGTTACGGTTGGGGTTACGGTTACGGTACATTGAGCAGCGTGACAAAAGCGATGGTGATTCTCTGACCGACGACGACAGCAACGAGAAGACGACAACAGAGGCGAAGACGGGGTCGACGACGATAAG